ATGGGTAATTACATGGTATGTAAATTATAAGCTATAGCTCAACAAAGCTATTAGAAAACAAAACTAAGCTCTATATGAGGGTAAAATCAGAGTGACAGAAATCACATTTGAGGTTAAAAGAAAAAGAGAAAAGGAGGAGACTCCTTGAGTGTAGGTAATTTCTATATTGTGTTCAAGGCACCTATGCGAATAAACTCACTTTGCAAACATTGAGCCTTGTACTTGAGAAATCACTCTATCTGTACTTCAATAAAATTTTTATTTGTTTTTTTTTTGAGACAGAGTCTTGTTCGTCATCCAGCCTGGAGTGCAGTGGCACGATCTTGGGTCACTGCCACCTCCACCTCCTAGGTTCAAGTGATTCTCCTGCCTCAGCCTCCCTAGTACCTGGGATTACAAGTGCCCACTAATTTTTTATTTTTGCAGCAATGGGGTTTCACCATGTTGGCCAAGCTGGTCTTGAACTCCTGACTTCAAGTGATGTGCCCGCCTCAGCCTCCCACAGTGCTGGGATTACCGGCATAAGTCACCTTACCCGGCCAAATTTTTTTTTAATTCGGTCTCCATATAGACTGTCAAACTATACTGCAAGTTGTCATGATGTGGTATTGGGAAAAGTTTTCAATTAGCAATAATCGTGCCTCGGATAAACCTCATTGGCTACGATACTGGCCACTGCACCAAGCTAACTTTTTATTTTTTAAAAAGTCCAACTATAAGCCTGGGTGCAACGGCTCACGCTTATAATTCCAGCACTTTGGGAGGCCAATGTGGGAGAATCACTTGAGCCCAGGAATTTGAGGCTATGGTGAGCCTTGACTGCACCATTGCACTCCAGCCTGTTCAACAGAGTGAGACTCTGTCTCACCAAAAGAACCCAACAACTGTAAATATTCTTTTTAATCTCAGAATGCTAAATTAGGGATTATTTCCACTTTAGAAATTAGGATCCTAGGCCGGGCGTGGTGGCTCAAGCCTGTAATCCCAGCACTTTGGGAGGCCGAGGCGGGTGGATCACGAGGTCAAGAGATCGAGATCATCCTGGTTAACATGGTGAAACCCCGTCTCTACTAAAAATACAAAAACATTAGCTGGGCATGGTGGCGCGTGCCTGTAATCCCAGCTACTGAGGAGGTTGAGGCAGGAGAATTGCCTGAACCCAGGAGGCGGAGGTTGCGGTGAGCCGAGATCGCGCCATTGCACTCCAGCCTGGGTAACAAGAGTGAAACTCCGTCTCAAAAAAAAAGAAATTAGGATCCCAAGGAAATTGAGATATTAAAATGACTTGCTTATAGTCATATTCTAAGTTAATCACAGAAGTAAAGCCTTTTCAAATTGTAAACAATGTATGTCTAAATTAGACACTCCCTTCCTACCCACCACTACTGCTTTCATCACATTACCATGTTTCCTTTCCTTGTAGCACTTAAAACTATGTAAAATAATTGTATTATTTAATACATTATTTTGTCTTTCCCCAATAAAATGTAAACTCCAGGAGAACAGAAACTTATTTTGTCCAGTACTATAAACTCAATACTAGAACGGTGCCTAACACATACAAGATGTATCCAGAATGAATGAAATCATTATACTAATTATTTTCTGTTGTTTGTCTTCTTGCAGATGGCCTTCACTTTGATATTTGCTGGGACAGTAACTGAATGCAGGTTTGGCACCGTGTGTGTGTGTGTGTGTGTGTGTGTGTGAACACTTATTTACTTATTATTTTATTTTGTTGGAGACAGGGTATCACCCTGTTGCTCAGGCTGGAGTACAGTAGCCCAAACATGACTCACTGCAGCCTGGACCTCCCAGACTCAAATGATCCTCCCACTTCTCAGTCTCCTGAGTAGCCGATACGACAGGCACATGCCACCACACCTAGCTCACTTTTAGTTTTTGGAGAGACAGGATCTCACTATGTTGCCCAGGCTGGCCACAAATTCCTGGATTTAAAAAATCCTCCTGCATCGACCTCCTAAAGCACTTGGGTTATAGGCATGAGTCACCGCACCCAGCCTATTTTATTATTTTTACTTTTTGTAGAGAAGGGTCTTGCTATGTTGCCCAGGCTGGTCTTGAACTCCTGGCCTTAAGCAATCCTCCTGCTTTGGCCTCCCCCAAGTGCTAAGATTATAGAGGTAAGCCACTGTGCCTGGCCAGGTTTGACTTTATTATATCTCAAATATATCATCACAAATATATCTTCAAAATGGTTAAAAAATGATAAAGATTTTTTTTTTTTTCTTTTTTGAGACAAAGTCTTGCTCTGTCGCCAGGTGCCAGGCTGGAATGCAGTGGAGCAATCTCAGCTCACTGCAGTCTCCGCCTCTGGGGTTCAAGCAATTCTCCTGCCTCAGCCTCCCAAGTACTTGGGACTATAGGGGCACGCCACCACGCCCAGCTAATTTTTGTATTTTTTAGTAGAGATGGGGTTTCATCATGTTGGCCAGGATGGTCTCTTGACCTCGTGATCCGCCCGCCTCGGCCTCCCAAAGTGCTGAGATTACAGGCGTGAGCCACCACACCCGGCAATATAAAATAATTTAACAATGGTACATCATGAAAATGTCAATAGATAAATAATTTTATTTAATGATTCACTTAAAATAATGACTTCAATTTTTAAAAATTATTAAGTATAAAAAAGTTTCTTCTTAAACAAAAAAACTACAAATTGATCTACTAAATCATGATTTAAGATATTGCCAAATTTATGGCATTTGTATGAGAATTAGCATAAATTACAAGACAATCATGCAGACTTTAGGAAAGCCTGGGAAAGCTTTATTAGAAGAAATTTTAAAATAACTGGGTGTCCTTTGCCTTAAGATGACGGATTTGAAATTATCTTGGTAGGAATGCTCTATATTCTTTCTTATGTTCTATCTTCCTTATATTCTTCAGTGCTTACTTGTAAATCATTAATATTATTGTTATACACCCTAAATGAGATTGAAAGATTTAGTAAGTATTTTCTCAGAAAACGTGTTATATCAATGATAAAGTAGTACTTTTCTTTAAAATCAGATCAGTAATGTTTTTAAACTTTAACATACTTCATTCAGTACAATCCAGATTTTTTACAGCATTCTTCCTCTAAAAGTATTCCCTACACTATTCACATGGCACTTAATACACACTATCCCACTTTATTAGTATTTTTATGTATGTATTTCTGTCAAATACACGGATTTTACTCCCATCTGTGCTAAATCTTTGTATTCCTTGAATGCAGCACAAAGTAGGCACACTTTATACATGTCGTTTATGATTGAATTTTTAAAAAAGGTACCTAGGGTGGCAGAAATGCATAAAGTGGCACTCAGAAAACAAGTTCTGCCCCTGAGTTGCGGCCTGAAAACAAATGCTTTACCACCCCCTTGGGCACTCAGCTAAATTAGTTTCTAAGGCTTTCATAGCTCTGAGAAATAAGTCTTCTAATGAGTCAGAATAAAACCTAGGTTTACTACTATTTTTTCTCCTAGAAGTATTATTTCTAATCCTCTTGAAATTGAAGTGATCAATCAGCTTGTGCATGTATAGCAATTTTTGTGGCTTTCCCCTCTAGCTACTCTCCCTTATAATTAGTCTACTCTCATTGCTCAAGAGTATGTCTCTACCATAGCAGGCTGGTATAAGAAATCAAAATATATCTTAAATAAGACTAAAGACTGCGTATCCTTAATCCAAAAATCTGAAATGTGAAATGCTCCAAAATCCAAAACTTTTTAAGCACCAACATGACATTCACAAAAATGCTCAGGGCTGGGCACAGTGGCTCACGTCTGTAATCCCAGCACTTTAGGAGGCCGAGGCAAGCGGATTACTTGAAGTCAGATCAAGACCAGTCTGGCCAGCATGGCAAAACCTTCTCTCTACACTAAAAATACAAAAATTAGCTGGGCCTGCTGCTATGGACCTATAATCCCAGCTACCTGGGAGGCTGAAGCAGAAGAATTGCTTAAACCTGAGAGGCAGAGGTAGCAGTGAGCTGAGATCATGCCACCGCACTCCAGCATGGATGACAGAGCAAGACTGTGTCTTAAAAAAAAAAAAAAAAAAAAAAAAAGCTCAGATTTGGGATTTTCAGATTTGGGATCCTCAATAGGACAATGCAAACATTCCAAAATCTGTAGTACTTCTATTACCAAGCATTTTCAAAAAGGGATATTCAACCTGTGTTGGCTACTTCCAACAAAACTGAATAGCTTGTTCTACCAATTGTTAGGAAAGCAGGTTATTAAATATAGCTTTTATAAACAGTGTAGACTTCATGTTACCCTTGAGAGCCTGCTGCTTAGAAAGGAGAAAAATATTTTATTCATGCAATACTTTTTTTCCCTTGCTTTCTCCACTATTTGCTGAGTGAAAGTAGTATATCCTAAAGTTACTTAATACAAACCACAGACTATAAATTCAGTGTATCCCTTCTATGTACTGTAGCACTTTGGTGATATATTGCCTAAGAAGTAAGTTCTTCCAAACATATTACCAAAAACAAACAAAAGATATAACATGTCTATGTGTTGTGTATTTTCTAGTAGACTAAAATAAAATCTTTTTAGGAACTGAGTTCCAAAAAAGTTCATATAGTCAGAATAGCTTAAATTACTTTAAATTACCTAAATGCCTTACTTATACAACCATAAAGCATTATATACTTTAAATGCCATCATGTATTGGATATGAGTTTTTTGTTTATAGAACCCATATTTACAGCCATTTACAATATTTAAGAATACATATGAAAAATATTTGCTTAAAAAAACTAAAAAAAAAAAATTTGCGTGTTTAAGAGAAACATCAGCACTGTATAAATGAATGTGCCTTAGTGAAACATGTTCATGATGTAATTCCACTAAGTATTAATCTGGCAATTTAAATATACAATTGTCCTATATAAAAAATAAGGTTTAACAGTAGTAAAAAAAATACCACTATCTGACAACAAAGCAATAATAATTTTTAATCCATTGTCAAAAAGAAACGCTTACCTTTCTGGGCTTTAATTGTCTGTTCTTCAATTTGTTTCAGACGTTCCATTAGCTCTTCCTTTTCACGTTCTATTCTTTCCTTTTCCTTTTCTGCTATTTCTCTTTTCTTCTTTTCATTCTCTAATTGTGCCCTTAAAAGAAATTGCAATTGCTGTTACAAATTAATAGACAGAAACATTATTCATGTGATAGAATACTGCTCAGCCATAAAAAGGAACAAAATAATGTCTTTTGCAGCAACCTGGATGAAGCTGGAGGCCATGATTCTAAGTGAAGTATATCAGAACATACAAATGCTGTATGTTCTCACTTATAAGCGGGAACTAAGGTATGAGAATGCAAAGACAGAGTGATATCATTGACTTTGAGGACTTGAGAGGGAATGGTTGGGAGTGCGGTGAGGAATATAAGACTACATATTGGGAACAGTGTACATTTAGGTGCACTACAATCTCAGAATTCATCACTATAGAACCCATTCATGTAACCAAAAATCACCTGTAGCCCCAAAACTATTGAAAAATAATAATAATTAGAAATGTCGCGGGGCGCGGTGGCTCAAGCCTGTAATCCCAGCACTTTGGGAGGCCGAGGCGGGTGGATCACGAGGTCAAGAGATCGAGACCATCCTGGCCAACATGGTGAAACCCCGTCTCTA